CCCTTGGCCCCTCCTCGGCTCCCTGAGCCCTCCCCTCCTTCGCAGATGCCCCCCACCGACCCCCAAAGAAAGTTCCTGCAAATGTTCCTGCGGTCAATCCTTTCATTTTGTCTCTGTGGAGTGGCAAAGCAGTAGTATTGTGAAGGGCCTAGATGTCGCTTGTCTGGGGGCGGGGTGGGGGGGGCTTCTTCTAACGCCCAAGGAGGTGTCTCAAGTCTTTCATTAGCTCTCACAGTCCAGCTGGAAATTTAATAGTTTGGGGTCCTTTTCAAAGCTTCCCCAAATGTTCTGTCCCAGAGCCTAACCCATTTACACTTAACGCTGTAGATAGAACTCTGGGATTTAAACCAGGGTCTCGCATAAGGGACCAGGAAATAAAGCAGAAAGATTTTTTCCCCCACCAGAGAGGGCCAGTGTTGCATGATTTTAAAAAGGAGAAATAAATAGAAATAAAAGTTGGTTCAAAGTAAACAGGGGTTCCAAAATTCATGGGCACACAGTAGGCACAAGTGACTTTCAAAAGGGTTTTTTGGTTTTGTTTTGTTTTACTAATGCAGGGTCTAATCCGGTGGCCGGGCAGAACCCGCTGTAAACAGCGGCCAAAAGCCTCCGGCCGAAGAGCGCCCGCATTTACTTCTTGCTAAATCCTGCAGGATTCGCTTTTGAACACAAAGTGCTAAAACGACCAGAAGTTTCTTAGTGTCTGTAACAATTCAGTGTGAGCCCCTCTCCTTGACTTCAGTGGTCAAACTCCCTAAATGCAAAACATGTTCCCCCTTGCCTGACCTGCAACTGTCCTCCCTTGGCTGTATTGTGCAGTGGCAGAGGCAGCATACGGTTGCTGAGTAAACTTAGCAAGTCAGAACAATCAGTGGCTTAAAAGATTTTCCCTTAAACTAAAAGTTTCGTTCCAACACAAAGGCGCCTACGTTTTGAAACCCTCAGCGCTCCGGAGCGAAGTGGAGCAAGGGAGGACTGGGATCCGCTGAACCGGAGGCTGAAAGGGGATATGGAACCTTCAGACAACTTCTCCCGAGCTGGGACCCCTCGGCGGCCACCGCGGCTGCGAAGCCAAGCGCTGAGCAAACACAGAGTGTGAACGGAGATGGGGAGCGCCGGGCGGCAAGCCGACTCCCCCAGTTTTCCATGAAATGTGAATTAATAGTCACCGGCTCTGGACCTCCAATCCAGAGAGCTCTGACTTTTCCTGTTACCAAGGGCACGGGGAAATAGGGAAAGCATCGCAACTCAACCCTTTAACTGCTGCCCATTATACCTACCCATAAATGGCATCTTTATCTCTCTTTAAAGCGTCATTGACAGAGGAGCCCATGCTGGGGGCCATGGCGTTGGTATGAGCCGTGTGCGGGTACTGATGAGAGTGCAGAGGAGGCCCGTGGTTCAGGTGGTGGACCGGCTGCATGGACCTGGCTGCATGCGGGTCCCCATACATCGTGGAGGGGATGCCTACTCCATCCATGCCCCCGTAATGGGGTAGGTCGTCGTACTGCATGACAAACAGGAGAGAAAGAAGGTTCAGAAGGCCAGGCGGGCAAACGGGAGAGGCAGGGCTCCCAGAGCTTATGTAAGGTCAGTCCAGCTGGGTCCTTCAACCCGGATTTCGGTGGCCTTGCATCTCCAAAGTTGAGACTTCTATTTTAAAAATAAATTTAAAGTGAAATTTCTAGGGTTCTCAGTAAGACTCCACTGAGATGACGCTTCTTGCCCTAACTTGTATCCCTATCAGCTAGTTCAGAAATTCAGAATCCTTTGGCAAGGGAGGAAGGAAGAAAGAAGGAAAGAAAGAGGCATTCTCCCAGAGGGCGGAAGGTAAAACGTGCATGTCTCTGGAGGAGGAAATTGAAAATCACAATAATAAAACGTGCCAGGACAGTGCAGCAAACCTGCCTAGTTTCACAGCCCCTTCACATCAGGGGGAATTAAAAAAAAAAAAGTTACGATGGGAACAGCTCTCCCAAGCACGTGAATTCAGGCAGGCTTCTCATTTTATTTTCCTGCCAGCGTGGGGCTGGGCAGTCCAGCAAGACATTGCATTTTCTTTGCTTTCCAAGACAAATTCTGCTAAATCATACAAAACAAACTGATCCCCTTATAACTGAAACTCAAATAAGGGTAGTTTTCCCTGTACCTTACAGCCAAGTTCAGAATTGGGTACCCCCAAATTAAAGAAAATCTATAACTGAAGCAGTTAGCATTCTTTTTTAAAAATAAAAAGGACTTATAAACTTTCTCCCAGACTACAAATCAATGAGGCAAATGTTACTCATTAGGTTTTAAAGCAAATTCAAAAGCAAATGTACATACAACGCCCCATCTTTCTCCTCCAGAAAAACTACTTTCATATTGTCATTATTTTTTGTGCTAGATTTAGCTACTTCGGTTTTTTAAATTGCTTCATTCCAGGCAAGGTCTTTTCCCAAGATTTGAAGGTGCCTAGAGTGAAATGATTTTCAAAGAAAAAAGGAATTGCCACTTTCAACTCCTAAAGCCAGAGGTGTGAAAAGAGTTTGGAAGAACGCTGACATTTGCCTGAACCAAAGGAGTAAAGAAAAATGTGTCAGCCTAGTAACTTTCTTTTGCAAACAGGGCTTTGAGGGCCAGGACACAAATTATGCAAGGAAGGCTTTTTTGTAGACCCCATTTCTTTAAGAAACTACCCCATTTGGGTTGTCATTGTCTCACTTTACTCTCACTACATTTCCATTCAAATAGGAATATTGGGGAAATTAGTATTGCATTTTAAAAGTGAGTAGCTGTGTGCTTAGTATCCAATTAGTACAAGACTTATCTAAGAAAAACTTGCAAAGTATTGGCTTGCATAAAAATCCATGCAAACTAAAATTACTTTTAAAAGATGAATGTTTTTCCAACCAAAAAAACCACAATGAATTATGACAGTTATTTGCTTTAAAAAGCTAAATACTTCAAATGATATTAAAGAGGACCATAATCAATAACATATCAGAAGTTTCTAGCTGGTTATTTTAATTTAAACATAACTTCAAACTTCTGCTCCTTGGATGCTCAAATTATAGTATTCTGTACCTAGCATTTCTTTTTAACAAATGATTGCTCTAGTTTATATCTTTATGTATATAGCTGTTGATTAGGAATCTGTAGAAAACTTGATTATGTGAATTAACAACTGCAAGTAACATATATACGTCTACAGATGCATTAAATAAATCCTCTCTTCTTTAGGCCACGGCTTTAGAACCCTCATTCAAAATGAGAGAAAGGAAAAAGGAAACTTTTTAACAGTGTCGTTCAGCCACGTTTCAATTTAATTTTATATTTGAGTTCCACAATTGTTTTTAATACGTACCCTTTGCGCCATCGGCCTCTCTGGCTCCCTTCCTACTTCAACTTCTAATATATCCTCTTTAAGGCCAGTGTGAAAAGAAACAAATATGCAAACTCCCCCTGAAAATTAAAAAAAAAAAAAAAAAAAAAGCACGACGAAAAATCCCTTAACGTCTCCAGCAGTGTGAGCTACTGGTCCCAGATCTTCGGTCTACCAGACCTGAAGCCAAGCGCCCGAGTCACTGAGCATAAAAGCGCTCCGTTTCCAAGACAGCAGCGGGGGCAAAAAGAAAAAAAGGAAAAAAGAAAAAAAAAAAGCAGATCTTCTCTCCCCAAAAAATCAGTTAAAAAAAAAAAAAGAGCGCCCCTCAGACCCAACTACCAAATCTCATGGCTTTCTGCCACTCCAGCTGTCAATCACAGGCGAGGTTGTCAACGTGGTGAATGAATGATCATCCGCTCTGTCTTCTTCTGGTCAGAACACCTCAAATGCTAATATTCAAATGCACAAAGCCCTAGCGCTCGGTTCCCTTGAATCAGTCCTAATTCCTAATCAGTTTCTCTCTTCTCTCGCTCTTTCTCTCTCTCCCTCTCTCTCCCTCTTTGCAACTGCTGCACTGGAGGGAGATTAGAGGAGGGTTAAAAAAAATGTCTGTCTGAGTTTGTCTTAAAGGAGCCACGATCGATGCTGTCCGCTTGCAGTCCCCGTGCGTGTGTAAAGTGTGTGTTGCACAGGCGGAGAGGTGGATTCCGACCAGAATGCTAGAACCCGGAAGTAGTGGTGGCCATAACAGGTCGCGTCTTACACAATGCATTGGGCTGCAGCAAGTAGGCTCCTCCGCAGGGGTGGGTGCGCGAAGCGAGCTCTGTCCGCACTGGAGAGGCAGAAAGGCGCTCCATTAAATCGCACGCACAGGCACAAACACCACACAGCCCGAGCACACGCACACGAACGCAAGCAGCAGCACCCGGCCGCCGGCTTTATTTTCCATATTCTTTTCTCTCCCTCCCCCTCCAGACTCTCTCCCCAAAGCGGACTCTCTTGAAATAAATTGGGAATAAACGCGGGCCAGGCAGCAGCGGGAGTTATTTTGCACAGGACTCCGCGCATAGACTTCAAGACTTTCCTCGAAATTATTGGGGTCTGCCAGTATTTTTTTCTTGGGAGGTGGGTGACGCGCCAAGTACTGGATTCTCAGAACTGGACACCCCAACGAGAAAAGTCAAAACGGGAGGGAGAAGAGGAGCCGGAGGTGGGCTGGGAAAGGCTCTGCTAAGAGTCCCGAGAACGAGGGCCGGAGGTAGCTCGAGCTTTCTGTAGACCCAGTTTAGAGGTTTTCGCTGTCAGAGGTAGACGCCCGGACGGAGGACAGGAAATGCTTGCATTTTGTCACTTTGGGTCTGGACGCCCCCACCTCCTCGCCCCGGGCAGCTCCAGCCTCAGCCCCGGCGCCCGGCACGAAGAGAGGAAGGGAGGGAACAATGAGCTGAGCTCTGGGAATGTGCCCCCAGCGCCTGTTTACAAACACCAAGCTATTTATGATCGCCGGAAAGCGAAACCCGACGCGGGCTCAGAGCAGCCCAGACCTCACGGGCGGGCGGAGCCCGAGAGCCGCGGGGAGTCAGGCTCAGTCCCTAACCCGCTCCGGGCGAGGCGCGCAGGGGCTGGAGCGCTCGGCTCTGGCTGCGGCCGCGGCGCCTTTGTCTTTGAGGCGCCTGGGGGCTTCTTCAGCCTTGGCCTGGCCAGGGCCTGGAGGGGCTCCGCGCCCCCGGTTCTTTCCCCGGCGACACCCGGCTCTCTCCTCCCCAGACCTCTATCCCCACCCACCGCTTTTCGGTTCCCAACCCTGCTCGGAGAAAACTCCCAACACCATAGCAAAAGAAATCCACTTCGGAAGCTGAGATTTCAAACAAAAGCTGCCCGTACCCACAACTCTGAGTCTCCAGCCAGTAACCGATTTCAACTTTCTCCCTGTAAATACTTATTCTCTGGGCTTAACCGTTTTCCTTCTTTTTATTCTCCCACTCTTAAGCGTGCCCTTTATTATGGGATTTAGTGGGGTTATTTTCGTCTTTATTTTCCTGCCCGCCTGGCTCTGGTCTGCCGAGACGCCTCAGCCTCAGCCTTAGCAGCTGGAAAGCTCACATCCCAGGCAGGGCTCGCAGCTCGCTCAGCTTGGAGAGAATTTTCTCCCCCTCCCTCCAGCTAAAACCTCGCAGAAAACTCCCCCTGCGGTCGACTGGAAAATGAGCTCACCCAAATCTCGGTAGGCAGCCGTGGAGGAGGGCTCGGCCAATCAGAAGGCGCTCCCGCCCAGGAGGCTGCGCATTGGCTGCGGGGAAAATCAATTATCAAATAATCGATCAGCAGGGAGCTTCGATCTGCCGGGAATGTAAACTGCCAGTACCGATTCCCGCCCTGACGGTGGCCAAAAGGCTGACTCCCTCAAAGCGACCGGCCTGAGCTCCCATCCCATGGTCCCCACCCCCATCCCACCCTGCCAGCTGTGGAGCAAACCCTCGCCCCAGAGGGGAGATAGTTGGTGGGAAGAGTTTTGAGAAAGATTAGGGGGCCCCCTTCACTGGGAGTTTGTTTGGAAAAGGTTGAGAGCTCTCAAATGTATTGAAGCCAACTCTTAGGCGCCAAGTAAGAGAATTTGCATCCGTCCGCGAAGTAGGACTCAAGTTTCTTCTGAGTGGGCTTCTGAGGAGCAGGGGACCTGGGCGATCTTCAAAACGTAGAGCTGCAGTATTGCTCCACCGAGCGCTGGTAGCCTCCCTAGGCGACACCTATGGCTTCTTCTAGCGCTCCGCAGGAGCTAGCGCCGGGGTGGTTCACCCCAGCCGTGGAGCCTTCGTGGAAAGCTGAGCAGATGAGCCTTCCCAGCCTACTGCACACGTCCCCGCCCCCAACCTGAACTTGCTCCTTCTGTGCCTGAAGGGTCGGCACACATTCACCCAAAACCTTCAGATGAGCTTTGAGTTGAATGAGCTCAACTGTTACAAAAGAAAAATCTCCAGAGTCCCTTAGTACTTACCTGTCTCTTCTTTCTTAATTTCTAGTTTCTGTCTTCAATACTCAAATTTTAAGATATTTTACTTTTATCCACCACGTACTTGTATACTGTTTTCTAACACAGTTACCCTGATACATCTCTTGGGAAGTTAAGGCAGGCCTGAGAGTCAAAGCCAAGGGGGGCTTTGGGGAAGCCAGGTGAATTACCAGAGCCAACGCCTAACTCTGAGCCCGCCCCCCCCCCCTTCCCCTCGCAGTTTGAACTTGAAAGCAGCTTTTCAGGCCAAGATGGAACCTTCTGAACTCAGGAAAGCGATTTTTAATTTTTGCGAAGCCGAGCTGGCTAGGCCAGGCAGCGCACTTCTTTTCCGATTATGGGGAGGGCTGCGCTGGGCCGTCAGCAGTGAGCTCTTCCCCAGCTCCTGAGGGCTGTGGCCCACACCTGAGCGCCTTCCGACAGCTACTCCCGGGGGTGGGAGCGCTGTCTCCCCAGCAGGCCTGCCAGGCATCAGCGCGGCTTGGGCGGGGGGGGCGGGAGGGGGTCCAACCAGACACCAACACAGGCTCCTCTACGTTTATGGTCCTTAAATGAACTGCGAGGAAGGTTATGTAAGTATAATTTAACTGAGAAATTTAGTGCGAAATACATTTAGGTGACCGTGGCCCAGGGGTTCTTGGTCAAACTTAGGTAATGGGGTTGGAGGTACCTCAACGTGCGTCCATGTTTTCAAATTTGGAAAAAGTCAATATATATACGTATATATGTATGTATATATATTACATTTTTGACAACAAGATTTGTTATATATATTGTTACTTTCCAATGACTTTTTTCTTTTGTTTTCTAGCAGAAGTGAAAGAAGGAAGGTTCAGGTAAGTCACTCTTCAAACAACCAATATTCTTCGAAGCAGGGGGCAGATTGTGTGTGCTTTATCCATGATGTGTCAGTTTTACTTTAAAACGTATTTTAAATTACCTACACACAGATTTTCCTTAAAGAATGTCATACTTTGGGTTTGTGAGGTTAAACTCACAGTAGTTTTGAAAAGTGTCTTTCCATTTATAACTGAACTTAATACTCCTTCTAGGCCTTTATATGATTAATTCTGAACAATCAAGGGACTAAAACACTTTTACAATGTAATTACAGTAGTACAAATTGTTTGCCCAAACCTCATTCTGGATAAGGATTTTACAATTAGCAAACAGTTATTACAGTTGGTGCTTGCTGAGAGAAATTGCAGAGAGGACCTCTAGAGTTGCAATATAGTAGCCATAAAAAAAAAAAACTCCTTTAGCAGGGTAGTAATTAATCAACTATTAAAAGGAAAAAAAATGAAGGAACACTTCTAGGTATCCGGTAAACTACTGGAGATATTAATGTCTGTTCTGTGACAGCGCCTAGCCTATACTTATTTCAGATAATAGGCAAAAGCACTTTTATTTTGCAAAAACTTGGCCTGGAAAAGAGTTCTGGCACTTGGCTCCAGCTCTTGTGATGCAGGCCTTCCACTCTCTGTTTTCCCTTCATATATCAGAGCATCTTCCCAAAGATGGAGAACGGACACTAAAAAAGAGTCAGGCTGAGCCGTTGGTCTCTATTGTTTACACCATCCTATAGGGAGGCATTTAAAACAAGCAGGGCTCCTTTGGGCTGTTGGGATAGTGGTCTGGGGGAGCTCCCTTGTAACTTTCTGTTCTCCTATGAGGAATTGTGTCTTTGGAAAGGCCCACATCCTGAATCAGGCTTTTGTCTCAAAAGTTCACACTGATGAGTCAGCTCAAAAAACCCTCCAAAATTAAAGAGGCACCTCTTAAGGTAAAATGTGTGCGTATTTGCCAGCCCAGAATAAACAAAAGCCCATTAATCAATCGAGTATGGCAGCTGTGTTCACAGTATGATAAGGGTTTCTCATCTGCCACCTAACTTTAAGATGTCTGTTAAAATGTTGTGATTGCTTTTTAGGTTGTCCTGTGGTGTGGGGGATTGGGGTTTGCACTTCAAGAACATCCATCCTTCAAATCTCTCCCCACATTAGTATTTGCATTTCAAAAAAACAGAAATAAGGGGAGGGGAGTTTAAAGAAAATAGATTTGAAATCTAGTAGAGATACTAGAGGAATGTTGGAGATAAGAGCCTGGATGTGATATGAGAAAGGTACCAAGAAGTCAAAGCTAATGAATGGCTTTTCGAGAAAAGTGAAATAAACTAGAGGTCTATTAAAGAGAGAAACCTGGTTAGGTGATACAAAAAGGGGTTGACCAGGAGGGGATTAGCTAGGATGTTAATCAAGTGCCCCAAAGCAATCCAGGCTATAAGGACCGGGAGATTTGTTTACTGCATTTTGCTTCAGAAAACAAAGAATGTCTGGTCCAGTTCAGAAGTTGATGAGAGGTCAGCTTAGGTACTTCAACCATTGCAGGGAAAATGCCTAACTCACTATATTCTGACTGGATAACACAGAAGTTTAGAAATAAAAGAATCTTTTTGGAGGGGCTTCCCCTCACTACTTTTCTATTTCAAATCATTAAAACACTTTGGTCTCTAGAGGGGGAAAAACTACACTGGTTAACATAATTACTAGCTCTGACATTTTCAGAAGTTATAGAGGTCTTTTATTAATTAAATGGAGGACTTAATAAAATATTCCTAATAAAATTTATGGTTGTCTTAAAACTTTCTAAACAGTGCTATAAATTCTTAATAAAATTAACTGGGAAATGAGTTATTAGCCCACACTTTACCCCCTCCCCCAACTTCGACATAAGGAGTGCCTGCAGAATGGAAAGAAATAGAACCCTTTTAGTAAAATATAAATATTAGCCAAAGTCATACATTGTACTAGAAAAGACGAAGTCTTGACTGTTATTTCTAATGGCCTTGTCCTAACAATAAGCCCCCCAAACTACCCACAAAGCTCCATACAGAGAATCCCTTCCACAGCTTTGCTGTATTTTATATATGTGTATTTATATGCCTAGTTGAAGCACAATCATCAATTTGTTGGACTAAGTTGCATGTTAAATGTTTTCAATAAAAAGCATAGACTCATCATGCAAAATTCGAATATAGAATCTTGACAGCTTAGGCTGTAAATTTTTTTCAATTTAATTTCTTTAAAGATAACTTTTAAATAATGGATTTCTCATACCATCCCCCTCATTAATAACAGTGGATGTGTTTTGAGAAGCTGCATTTGGTGGGGCAGATATATAAAACTTTTTCATAGCACTGCATTTCAAAACCTCGGCAAGTTGTCTTAAGTTTTGAGATACTTCTCCGCTTCACAGATCCAATACTGGCTGAGCTGCTGTTGAAAAGAACAACACACTCGTACTCACTCCAAACCTAATCAAACACCCTCGGTGAATTGTTTAGCATTTGAAGGCTTGATCTTTTGTGCCGTCTACTGGACAATGGAAAAACTGCAGCCTAAATGACAAACTTCCCTCCTCCAGTATTAGTAATGGAGGGGGAGGGGTAAGGGGAGAAGAGTAGGGGTGTGATTTGTGCTGGTAACAAGAGAGGACCAGGGCCTGCGACTGACAGGACAGGTCTTGTGGTCTAATCATGTTTTTCAAACTGAGGAGAAGACATTAAATATAGGTGTTTCTCAACCCACTTGACTAAGGTGCTAGGCTAACATTTAATACAGCTGTGTATGTATGCACGTACAGTCACTTTGGGGGGGACAGAAAGAAAAGGTCATGGGACAGGCTCAGCATTCTGAAAAAGAAAATGTGAGGTTGCTTGGTTTTGAGTATGAAGTTGCTTGACATTCAAGTTAAATGTGTCTACTACCTGGATAATCTTGGATGTACAAATTAATGCTTGGGATCTGGAAAGTGATATTATGTCGTAATCAAGAAAATAAGTTTTGAGAGAGGAGAAATGAAACTGGTAATCAGAAATGTCAGTGCAGTTTCCTTTTGGGCAATTCTGGATGAAAATGTGAAATTTAAAGTGTTTTCACTGGGAAAGCATAAGTGGGAGAAAGTGTGGGTGAAAGTCAAAGTTGAATGCCTTTAAATTGCAAAGGCTGTTTGATCTTCTCATAAGCATTAAAAATACTGTATACATTTTGGTTATGATTTAAAAAATACAAAGCCCATCTTTGTGGAGTCTTTGAGGTGGGAAAAAAAAGATCATAAATCTAACTTTGACTTCTATTTGATATTTGCGTAGCTTTTGAAGAAAGCACAATGAGTAGAGAGGAGTAATCCTGTTATTCAGAAACAAATTTCTTTCTTAATAACAGTGTGTGTGTGTGTGTATATATATATATATATATATATATACATACATATATGGAGAAGTCAAACTGATTTTAGTCAAAGAGATACAAGACTTTGTACAAGGGCTGTTAACATTGTTCGTCTGCTTTTCTGAAGTTAAAATTCTGTATGACATTTTAATAAAACCTAGAATATATGAGTAGTTATTAGGGTGACTTTTACTGAAAACACAATAATGAGAAAGGAGACAGCTTCAGCATATTTTATTGATGCATAAATATATTTCAATGACATTCTTTAAACATCCATTTTGATGGAGTACTATGTCAAAGTGATTTTAAAGTATTATATTAAATGCAGATACATTGAAGAGCCTGGGGTGACATTGACTCTAAGCTTACAGCATGGGGAGCTCAGGATGGTTTCATTTCACTTCTGCAGAAAAGGTAGTGTTGGTGGTGGCATCTTTTAAACTTTAGCATAAGCAACTGAACTGTGAACAGTTATTATTTTATGAGCTTCTCTTTGACCATTTTTAATCTTTTTTTTTAAGTCCCTACAACAAAAGCTAACAAGCAGAAAATTCTTCCAGGAACGGATCACAAGTGAGCACAGCTCTGTCCTGTATTCTAAGCTAGTAATGGAGGTACAGTACGGGAGCTGAAGAGGTCTAGCAGACGTGCTCCAGTCATCAACTGCAAACATTTACCTTTGAAGCAACTGGATGAGCCAGATTGGTTATGGTTTGCATCCATGTTCGACTTGATAAAGGGGCATAATTTGTGAAAAGCCTTCAGGCAAAAATCGTACTGATTATTCAAAACTAAATATTTTAACATTTCATTGAGTTAGCTAATGAATAAGAAAAACATCGAAGGCTTCCTGCAGCTCAGAAAGAATTCTAGTGGCGTGGAAAGCACAAGGAGCAAAGAACAAGAAACTGAAGGACTCCTGCTGAGCAGTTATTCGCTTGTGAATATCTGAAAATGTATTCTTCTGTGCGTTATTTAAAAATGAAAAATAAACATCATCTTTCCTTGTCTTTTGTTTTTAAATGAACGTCTGATAGCTTGCTAAAAATTTTTTTTCTGAGTAATTTATGCGAGAAAGGGCCAATTCGAAAACGTGTAACTAATGGGAGAAGTCCACGTATAAGCCGCAAACAAATCGGTTTGAAGCCGAGCCCACAGCCCTGCGAGGCGCCACTGCTTCCAAGCTCAGGGAGGATAACTTCATCTACCGGCAGTTCAGCGGCCACTTCCGGCACTCTTTTATCTATCTGGGAAGCACAGCCTTCTGCAGGATTGACGCGCGCGGCCCCGTGTGTGTGTGTGTGTGTGTGTGTAGGTGCGGGTCCCCGAGTCCCCTGGCGCCCTGGGCTGCGATCTAGTTCCAGAGCCGCCCTCCCGCGCCTGCCTGCACCCCGGGAGGCGCAGCTCCCGGAGTCCAGTGGGGTCGCTCCAGACTTTGTTCCCAGCAGCAGGGGCTACAGAGTCTGCTCACACCTGGCTTGGCTCCGGGGAGGAGCGGGGGGGGG